TTGGAGTGGCTCGGTTGATGGGTGCTTGGAGTAGCTTGGTGGGTAGTGGTTCTTGGAGTGGCTTGGTCGTTAGGTCCCTCGAGTGGCTCGATCAGTAGGTGCTTGAAGTGGCTCAGTGGGTAGGTGCTTAGAGTGGCTCAGTGGGTATATGGTTCGAGTTGCTCAGGCGGTATGTGCTTGGAGTGACTCCGTGGGTAGGTACTTGGAGTGGCTCGGTGGGTAGGTGCTTGGAGTGGCACAGTGGGTAGGTGCTTGGAGTGGCTTGACTCAACCATCTTCCCCGATTGCATGACTAAGGATGTGAGAACAGTTTGACTGTGGAAAGAAGAAGAAAGTTGGAAGAACCATGACAAAGAAAAGGAACTTAGGCTTGCGGAAATGGCGATGTGTTGACCCCAATGGGGGATGAATGTTGTTCGTTGCCTGTGTGAGAATTGTGCAGGTGAGTAGCTTGGGATGACTTGAGCGCTTGATGGGGACGAGAGTATGCGACGAGAGAAGATCAAAAAAGGAGTAGCCTTGTGAGATGTGGATGTGCTTTGGATTGATGCATGCTAGGCGGACGCCCGGAAAGACTAAGGGCCCAAAATGAATTGTTGAATGAAAGTGTCTAGGCCGAGTAAGAAAATGGTAGAGGCTAGAGGGGAGAGCGGTGCGGCCTCGCCCCGATGATGTCATAGGTCATTATGGACGTTAGGGAAAAGGTGCGTGGCCTTAGGATAACGCTTAGCCTACGCACGTAAAGAAGAAAAACTCTCAATAAACTCTATGGACTGCCTGAGTATTGGAAGGAGCAATTGCTTGCGAACACAATGAGGAATCGAGAACTTATGCTTGCAGCATCTGACCAGTGAGGCTACCACCCAAAGCAAGGGCTAAGTTACATCCCCAATGTTAAGCTCTCTCGTCCTATTGGCCCATCCCCATCCATACCAAAGCACTAAGTGGGGGTGGCCCCGGGACGAATAACCCGCCCCCTGAGCTTGAGCGTGGGCGGGTCGAGCCAAGTGGGACCCGCAGCGGGGTCGACAAAGGCTCGAAAGTCTTCCGGGGTTCGGCCCGACAAAAATAGTGGAGGTGCCGGGTACGGGTTAAACTGACCCATACGAGCTCGAGGGGGGCTCCCGACGCATGTGCGCGAACATAACTCAAGATTTGAGGGCGGCTGGGCGCATGGCATGACCAGGCATGGAGGAATAACATGCTTGATACGCACTTGATTAGGCATTTCCTTGTGAGGTGACTCTAGTCCTCCTTCTCTCGGCGCTGGTGTTCGCCAGTCCGAGGAAGCCTTGGGAAAGCCGCAGGTCGACCCTTCCTCTTCGTGTGAAAGAAGGGCTCTGGTTACCTGGCAGGCGGTTGGTGCTCGGCCTAGGCCGGGTTCCAATAAAAATCCCACGGCGGAGTGTTCCGACCGACACGGGTGCCTTCTTCTCTCTTCTTCGGAGCCTAGTGGGGCTCCTTGCACTTTCACTTGAAATGCTTGAAGGAACCTCATATGAACAAAATGGTAATCAAGAAGGAACAATCCCGCCTTATGAACGGACACACAAGTGAAGATGAGGGGAATGAAGGGAGTTGCTAGACTCCAAGAAAACTAGCTCGCCTTTGAAGATGCTCACGAAAAGGAACTGGACACGGTGTATGGAAACTAGGGGTGAGTGACACACATGGTCCCGAGAGAAAAGCATGAGGCATGGTTAGGAAGCGTTGGGAGCACCATGGAAAAAACACTTGTATTGTATGTCTCCCACTTGGGACTTGTGGTTTGCATGAATGGGGAATTGAGCGTCCTGCCATTTCGGAAGGAAAGGGTGGGTCTGCACCGACTGGTGCGGGTTGCGAAACGTCGTTTTCTTCGAGTAGGCCTCCGGGCTTTCATGTGCAAGGTCACGTCACCGAATCGTTGGGCGGGTGTTGGCACGCCGGTTGATTAGTAGCATTCTCGCCCGGGTGGGTCCGAGCTTGGCTCGGCGCCTTACCGAGGTTGCATGTGGGGCCGTCTCCTCAGGTGGGGCCTGGCCTGTCGACGAGTGGGGGGGCCGTTGCATGTGGGGCCGGAGGGAGCTCCGGAGGCGATTAGTAGCCTCTCGCTATACGGTTTGGTAAAGGCTGACTCTTATTGGACCGATGGATGTGAATGCCTGGGCAACTGACTTTTGTCCCTACCGGGGTATGCAGGGGTAATTCCCGGTGCCAACGGGGGTGTGCAAGAGCGGCAAGACGGGATGGGGTATTCTGGGCAAGAAGATGAGGGTGTCCCCCCACTGCAGTCTGGGTACCACGCTCGCGACGGTTGAGCTGTGCTTGAGGTACGGGATAAAACTCTGCCGATAGTAACAATGGAGAGACCACTTTTGGGAAAAAGACCGGTGAGGAGATGACCGGACTGTGTGTGAGGATTGCCTGATTTTTTCCTTTTGTGCCTCCCTCTGTAAAGTTGCTTGAGACTGTTGGGAAGGGACCAAGCTTCTGAGTGTATTCCCACCCCCTCTCTAAGTCCGCACGAGTGAGAGAAGATGGAAAAGAGCAAGTATAGGAGTCGGAAGGAAAGGAACCAAAAGAAGGAGTATCGGCGGATGGTGACCGATTTTGGGTACGACAGAGCAACGGTACTTGGGAAATGGGCAAAGGAAAAATTTAGGGAGACCTTGATGAGGGGTCTAAAAAATTCTCATATGGGACTACGACTGACCTAACCGAGGGATGATTGGTGCTCTCTTTGAAAAAAAAACAGGACTCGGCAACTAGGGAAGGACAAGATAGCATGGTGGTTGTTCCCGCCAACCTACTCCGGCGTACCAGAGATGTCGGTAGACTTAAGGGGTGGGGTGTCGGTTGTGATGCCGGAAGAAGGAACTTCGACGGACCTGGAGCCGGTATACTGAACCGTGATGCTGGTTGAAAGTGATGCCTTCCTATGGATCAAAACAATGTGGACCAAAGTTAGCTTAACGAGGTTAGCGTCAAGCCTGCTGGACCTAGAGTTTCAGGGGACCGTAGAGGCCCGGGAATGGGTCTACTTGTCTAAGGAAAAAAAAATCGCCGTGATTATAAAGCTTGCCTTAGGGCACTCCCGTACAACACACGTGGTTAACCAGGGGTGTTATTTTCGACGACTTTTGCACCGAATTGCACTGAAACTGTCATATTGTGCTGATTTTTTTCTTTTTTTCTTGTTTTTCTTTTTCTGTAATATATATGTGCTTTAGGGTACGTTATGTGTGCAGTTTTGACATGTTTGGACCAATAATGAAAAAGTTGGCATTTTGTTGAATTTGTTGGACGCTTCGTTTTGACTTGGACAGTGTCTTTGTGTTAGGGTTTCATAGTGTTTTTTTCATTTTTCTTTTCGTTTTTTTTTGCCTGTTTCCTTTTTTGATGTTTGCACTATGGTCTTATATCGTTGTTTTTAATATTTTTGATGAAATTTGCACCGCAATTGCCAATGAAAACGGTGAATATTTGGGGCCCCGTTCATCGTCTCTCCCGTACAAGTTTTTCAAGGAGGCTGAGCGGGAAGTGGTCTGGGCTGCGTGCCAGCGGGTGGAACTTTTAGGATCTTGAGGTGTGTCATGCCGCCCTTCATGGTAGACGCCGTCTTTGGAACCCGGAGCAGGCTGGTACAAATATGTAGATCCATGGCAAGCTTGGGGCTGTACCAAGGGGTCCGGCAGGACTTCTTTCGTCTGTCTGTCGAGAAGGGGCCGTTCGAAGGGAATTGGGCGAGGGAACTAGCCACGATACTAAACCATCTTAGTACGGACGGCCTGTTCGTCCCGAGTGACGTGCATTGAAGGATAGTATATAGGAATGTCGCGATAGGGGAGACGTTTCTGGATGGGGTATAGGACATGTGGTATGAGGAGGACGAAGACGACTCGGATGAGGAAGAGGGGGTAGAGATTGAGGATTGGGATTTCTAAAAGAAAGGGTTCGGGGCTGTATGGCATGGATGGATTGGGGCTGTGCAGGGTATCAAGGATGGTAAGGGAGCAAAGCATGATGAAACGGATGTTTAGAGGATGGACACCTAGGCGGCTCGAGGAAGGGGTGGAGATGGTCCTACCCACGAGGAACGAATGGAGAGGGACGGCCTGTGACTTGGTAGGGGTAGAAGTCGTAACCGCCATGTCTTTTCTATGGGTAGAGAGAATATGGAACCCAGTCAGGGAAAGCGAGGCATGGGATGAGATAGCTGAAGGGGATGTGGAGTCACTCGAGACCTTGTACTTGTCAAAGAAGGGGTGGTATCTGTTCTGTGTATGCCTAGCCGCCGGGTGGGACCCGACATGGATCTTAGGAGAGGCCGAACGATTGACCTGGGAAATGGGCTGCGAATTCGCGAACAAGGGATGGGATGAAGTGAGGAGCAGGGTCGTGTTGGGAGGTTGGGAGGAGCTTAGGATGCCGTATCAGCGGGTTCAGACCTGGGTCTCACACTTCGTGGCGAATTGGTTCGGAGGGTACGAACACATCCAGACGGTCGCAGAATCGTTAAGTGAGGTGGATCTGGGGTTCACCTGGTTAGCGGACGCCTACTATAGGACCTCGCTACGACTAGGGCCCTTCCACTTCCACGGGGACCACGCCGATGAAGTAGTCGAGATCCTAAAGGCCCTTAAGGACGATCGGTCTACGATGGAGGACGAGGTCGAGGAGGCGATACTCCGACGGGAGGTAGCCGCGACCCCCTCGTATGTAGGGGATGTGTTTCTACTATTTGAACGGGTCTGGATGTAAGAGTAAGCCTAGGGGCGTCGTGGGATGGGGGCCTGCACCCATGGGAAGGAAGGATAGCGCCGTCGCAACTGAGGGGTGAGGGAGGGGGTCCAAGAACTAAGGAAAACCTGAAATCGTGGTGGATGCAGCAGCTAGGAGCGAGGAGCTGAAAGTAGCGCAAGATGGCTAGACGGATGACACTCTGGGAGGATCGGTCGCGGGGGATCCAACTGCCGCGGGTCATGGAAAGAAGGGTGGAAGTTAATATGCCCGCTAGGGGTGGGGTGCATAACCTGGTGATGGATTGGGTAGGGGTAGAACTAGTGGAGGACACGGTGTACTTGGTGGTGGAACTGGAATGGCGCAGGAGGGGGGAATTCGGGGGAGTAAGCCTAGACCTGCCAGGGCGTGTGCACGCCATGGGGTCCCTGTACCTATCCAAAGAGGGGTGGCGGAACTTCGGGCTGGCCTTGGCCGCCGGCGGTAACCCCGTGTGGATGTTCAACGGGGCATGGCAAGTAACCTGGAGGGAAGGGTTCGCGTTCGCAGATCCGGAACGGGACGATGTGACGGCAACCGTTTGGGTGCTCGAAGTGGGGGCCCGCATCTTGGCCCACGAGAGCGTACGTATGAGTTTGCCGCCCTTCCTACTCGCTCGCTTGGGAGGAACGGAGCGTGTTGAGCAGGCGGTAGCAGCCTTGAGTAGGCTAAGCTTTAGCGACATGACGGTGTACCAAGAGTATGACCGAGCCTTCTTGGAGCTGGGACCTTTTGAGGAAGACCAGGAGTATGAAGTGTTGAGGATCTTACATGTCGTTGTAGCAACTAAGCCGGGGGTGCCCACGATAGCCGAAGAAACCCTGAAGGAGATAACTAGGCGAGAGATAGGTTGCGGCATGACTTATGTAGATGACGTCCATCGACTATTCGAGGAAGTGATTGGGTAAAAAGGGGTAGGTAGGAAGAAGGCAAAAGGGAAGGGGGGTGAACTGGTAGGCAGCTAGAGCACAACAGTGGGGACGAGGAAGGGACTCGGAAAATTAAAAAAAGAGATTTTATTTTTATTTTTTTTTGGAACATGCAGGGCAACGTTCGCCGGCAATGGCAATGAGGCGCGCTCGTACAGCCTAACGAGCCGCGCATCCGCGCCCGCCCATGGAGATCGGCAGCGGATGGGAAGTGTTGCTCCCGGCAAGCTACGTTGTCCGGGGGATAGATGTGGAATGGCGGGTCGTGACCTTAGGACAGAATCAGGCGTTCATGCTGGTCGAATGCTTATGGAGTGGGATGAGATTCAACAGGGGGCCGGGGGATGATCTGTACACCGACCTTAGAGTAACTGACACTTTGTACCTCCCCGGGATCGGGTGGCCGATGTTGGGAATGGAACTGGCTTTAGGGCATGGGCTGTTACCGGTCTTTCGGAGAGCGTCCAGGGCGCTGAACCGGATAGGGCACGAAGTTAGGGGGAGAAGAAATGTGGGCCTAAGGACGAGGGTAGAGGTAGGTGGATGGCGGGAGTTCAGGGCCCCAGCATCCGGACTACGCTGTCGGGTGCCCCTGTTCATGATAGACTTGGTGTTTGGGAGCCTCTCTCGGGCGAGGGAGTTGGTGAGATCGACCGTGGTCTGGAACCACTACTGCCAGCCACAGACAACGAGAATGTTTTATGACATAGCAGTAAGACACGGACCGTTTTGGGGGAACCGGGCACGAGAGTTGCTAGAGATCATTGAGATCTTAATATTTGGAATGCCTCGTCTATCCTTCGAAGAATACGAACCGATAATCGTGAGGGAAATTGAGATAGGAGAAAACTACCTTGCTGGAGTGGCAAGGCTGTTCGAAGAACCGGATGAAGAGGGTGGGTCTGAGGAACCGGTGTGAGAGAGATGTCGGGGAAGGTTGTGGAAATAAGGTATCGCAAAGGAAAACGGGGGCGGAAGTAGGGCTAACAGTTAGCCAAGGGCAGCGGTCGGAGTCCTTTTCGGACCAAGGGTGTGGTAGGAAGGGTAAGGATGGTCGCCGCAACCAGAGGTATGGAGAGGGTTTCAGGAATGAACAAAAGAAAAGAGAAAAGGGGAGATTGTGGGTATGCGGGAATCCTGGGGTCTAGGGGCTCATGAGGGCTAAGACCTATCTGCCTTGTCAAAAAAAAAAAATTCCATGCATAGAGCTAGGGAGGAAGAAGGATGGCAACGGGTGAGGGTGTCGTGAGTCAACCGGACGGCGAGAGCCGGGGTATAGACGAAGATGTAGAAGAAGAAGAAGAGGCCTTAGGGGACAAGGAATCAGCAAAGTCGCCAGGAGCTAGGGAAGGGAGCAAGGACGTTGTCCCCGGAGAGAGCTCGGGGAAAGGCGGAGGAAGCAAGCAGGGGACCAAGGGAATTAAAGAGGCCAGAGATAAAGATAGTCCAACACGCCAAACCCCGGAGGGCGCAGAGCACAAGAAAGTAAGACTGACGGATACGAGAAGGAGACTGGCTGAGATAAAAAAAAGGACGGCGGAATTCAGGTCAAAATTGCTGGAGGAAATAATGAACGAGAGTGAAAGAGCCTCGGTTGACGGAAGGACGCGAGAGGAAGAAGAGGAGAACCACAGGCGAGGGAGCCAGAATGTTGATATGCAGCAGAAGAGGGACCGCGCCAAGGATCCCAGGGGGACACCCACGAGGAAAGGGAAGGAGAGAACGGACTCTCCCAGAAGGGATGTAGAGAAACCCACCAACCCGCCTCTTATAGATAGCGCCACAAGCCGGCCCTCGGCATCCTCGGGAGTCGCAAGGGGGTATGAGGGACTCCGGAGTCTGAGGGAGAGAGTACTGGGGTGGTTTGATCTGGAGGGGACTGCTAAGATGAGAGGGTGACCAGACACAAGCAAGGAAGATTTGGAGGCCGGATCGGTGGCAGGGTCAGGAATGGTCGAAGGAGGGCTTAGGAAGGTCGTGTCATCCCTCACTCGCTCGTTAAGCAAAACTCAGGGGTACTTGGCCGACGCCAAAAAGAAACTGACTTTTGACGGAGCAAATATCATTAAGCTCCTGATAGATTATGAGAACCTGGCAGCACTCCTGAGGTGGAGCAAGGAAGAGAAGATGGAGCACTTAGGGTAGCACGTGTCGTTGAACCTAGGGAGGGACATAATGGCAATTGTCACCGCAAGTGGGTCATGGAAGGAGGCCCGCGATGTGATGATGAGGAAGTACTTGGCGGCCGAGAAAATGGTCACGCAAGCGGAACTGGCTGTGGTACAGAAAAAGGACTTCACAACGTACAATGACTTTCTAAGAGAATTTACTCTCGTAGCGCTGCGCATCCCCGGGGTGACCGACCGTATAATGAGTAAGTACTTCCTAAGGCAGTTCACAGAGTTCGATAAGGATAAAATCCTATCGGCCTACCAACAAACCGCAAAGTTCCTGAACACGAGAGATGTTGAGTACGATAACGGACATTGCGGAAAAGATGGTCGTGACCGACTCGTTGGCCCTGCTGAAAGAAGGGGAGATCATAGATCTGACCGGCAAGCCAAGTGATAAGGTAAAGAGAGGGATCGAAAGTTTACATGAGCGCGTCCATGAGGTTGGTGGGAAAATCGAGAGGGTGGAGAACGCCCTGATGGTGATGCAAGCCCAGGTTTTGCAGAGTCAGGTAGTGCGCCCCCCCCTCCCACCTAAGACTCAACCACGATACTTAAACGGTGTTCCAGAACCCTGCGCTGGGAAATTTTAGGACCCCGGAAGGAGAGGATAAATTGGAATTCGTCAGGAGGAATGCGTCGGGTCGTGATCACATTCAACAACCTGGACGCCGCTATAGTAAAAGTTGAGCCCGTGGCGGAACTCACTTGGGGGCAGGCGCAGGATAACGCTAGAGGTTCCGGATCTACTCCACCTAATCAAGGCAATCAGGTATCACAAGGTAGGAGTTGACCCCGCCTCTCTCGCCAGGTTTGAGGAGGAAGTTCGGAAGGGCTGCTTCCTGAACGGTGAGTTAGTTAGCATTCAGCCTCGAATTGCGGAAGTAGCACAAGCAACCCCGACGGTTCATTTTTTAAGAGAAAGATCCCGGAAGGAAGCGTTCGCAAATATAAACTAGTAGTAAGGACGAAGCCAGTCTCAATCTTATTGAAAATGACTAAGGAGGAGGTCATGGAGAAGGAGGAGGAAGTCCTTCGGGTAATCAAGGAAAGGAGGGCAACCGAGGGGCATAGGATACCAGACGAAGTGGCACAGACCATGAAGATAGGTGTGGAAGGGTTCCTGACGGAACAAGAGACACGGGTAATCAAGGAGGCATGCCAGGAGTTTCACTTAGCCTTCGCCTTTAATGACCACCAGAAGGGGCGGCTAGATGCAAAGTTGATTCCGCCAGTCAGAATCCACACGGTTGAGCATGAGTGTTGGAATGACAAGGGGCCCGCCTATGACTTCAGAATCGCGGGGGAGGTAACAGAGCTTCTCAGGGCAAAGATGAACTTTTTAGTGGCGGAGCCTACCGCATCGCCATACGCCAACAAGTGGTTCATATTTCGGAAACCCAACAAGTCCCTAAGGTGGATCCAGGATTTGCAGAAGCTAAATGCTGTCACCATCCGAGACGCGGGGTCGCTACCCCAGGCGGATCTCTTGGCTGAATCCCATGCCGACCGTAACATTTACTCGTTGATAGATCTGTACTCGGGGTATGATCAGCTTCCGCTGGATACCCGAGATAGACCCTGCACGGTTATGCATACGCCGGTAGGCCAGTTGCAAATGCAGGTCACGCCCATGGGTTTTACCAACGCAGTAGCAGAGGCGTAAAGGAGGATGCTTGCAGTCGCCGGGGACGTGTTTCTTGCGAAGTGCGAGCCCTATATCGATGACAATCCCGTAAAAGGGGCATGTGAAAAGGATATGACCGATGTTCAGCCGGGAGTGAGAAAGTTCGTGTGGGACCACCTACAAGATATCAAAGAGCTGCTTCAAAGGTTCCTGGAGTATGACATCACTGCTAGCGGTCCAAAAAGTATCTTGGCAATCCCGTAAGTCACCATTTTGGGTTTCCGTTGTGGGGCTTACGGAAGGAAGCCGGACCCGGCTAAGACGGACAAAATTGCCTAGTGGCCTACGCCCCCCGAACCACAACGGAAGTGATGGCCTTCCTGGGCAGTCCCACGGGGCTTCGGGCCATGATCCGCGAGGAAGGCACGCTGGACTAGACCGAGGACCGGGAGGCGGCCGTCCAGACCTTGGAGAAGATACTGACATCCGAAGAGGTTACCCTTGCTGCCCCGTGCTTCAATGATGAAGTAGGACACCCCTTCGTGCTTGAAACCGATGGGGGACCAGTAGCCGTGGGAGGGGTATTGATTCAGAAAGGCGAAGATGGGAGAGAGCGTCCCATTAGATTCGAGAGTAGAACGCTCAACTCAGCCGAGCATCGCTATTCTCAGTTCAAGAAGGAGGTGCTTGTGATACTTCGCTGCATCAAGACCTTCCAGGCGTATCTCTTTGGGAGAAGATTCATCTTGAGGATAGATCCAACCATTGTCGTGGGAGCCTTAAAGAACTATAGGCCTATCGATCCCACCGTGGGGAGATGGGTAGGGTTCATTTGGCAATTTGATTACGAGATTGAGCGCATAGCCGGTCTTAGGAATCGAGCAGATGGCCTGAGCGGGGTGAGCCTTACGCCGGAGGGACTAGAAGAAGCAAAGCCGATCGATGCATTCCTTGATCATGAGGGAGGGATTCAGGTGGGGGATAATGAGATGGCTGGGACCGCCTAGATGGCTGGGACCGCCTGCATGACCGAAGAATTGTTGATCAAAGCGTTAGAGAAAGGACCTTCCGTGGTGGTAGCAGAACTCAGAGAAGGGGTGGTCACCAGGGTTGGACGAAAGGAAGAAAAGGATGCTTGGGGTAGTACTGTGGGACCTCGGGAGGAACAGATAGCCTTAGCTATAGAAGGCGGATGGAAAAAGGTCGTGAGTGTAATGGAGTCATGGGACCAAGAAAGGCAACGGTACAAAGTTAGCCAAAGGTGTGTGAAGCCAGT